CTTCTGGGCGGGAAAACAAGAAATGTCGAAAATTTACCTAGAAAACGACGGGAAATCAGGGAACGAAGTTGTTGATAGAGGTGAAAGAATCAATCCAATGAAACAGTAATAAAATTTGGGGGATTTTGCAGAAGATAAAATTCATGCGAGGTTAAGTTAATTGGGGTTTTGGGGAAGTTTCTAGAATTTCTGTAGAACAGAGGAGAGAGAATATAGGAAGATGAGTGTTCGCATTTTTATAATTTTCGCTGGGATTTTTCAACTTTTTTTTTTATTTATTGGACGGAGGTTTTGGTATCAAGTATCAACGATTAGGGCGTATTTAGATTTTTTTTTTTTTTTTTTTTTTTTGACAAAAGGGCATATTTAGATTGATTGAACTGAACTTATTAAAACTAAACTAAGGCCCCTTTTGGTTTCATTTTCAATCGAAAATTAGTTTTCAGGGAAAACATATTTTCAAGGAAAAACACAATTGCAAATTAGTTTTCCTTTGTTTGGTTGCATACAAGAAAAGTCCAAGAAAAATAAAAAATAAGAGTGGAAATGTAAGGATGAGTGAGAGGGAAGTAAAAAAAAAGAGGTAAGGAGGAGAGAGGAAAATGTGGCTTCCCTTGTTTTTGGAAGGAAAATGTTTTCCATCATGAAGGTTGGAATTTTCCACCCTTGAAAAATTGTTTTCCACTCCTTAACAAACCAAACAAAGGAAAATGGGAAAAAATGGAAAATTCATTTTCCATGAAAACCTTTTACATCAAACCAAACAGGGCCTAAACTGAAAATAATATGGAGAGAATAGACCCCTTTTTTTTCGGGCTCTTTGTGTTATTCTTGAGATATTTGTGAATGTTTTGGAACAAGTTTGGGCTATACTAGTATCAGACCTGATCAATGGGCGGGCCGGGTCGAGGCATAAAATCAGTTCATTTCTCGGGTCAAGCCTAGTTTCGAGCCAAAATTTTCATGCCCAAACCCGCCCAAAATGGACGGGCCGTGCGGGCTTTTCGGGCCGAGCCAAAAAAATGAACTAAAATAGCTTTTAAATGCAATCCCAAGCCCGCCCAAAAAGATAAAAAATTCGGGTCGGAATATGCTGCCCAAAACCCGCCCAAAATCGGGCCGGGTCGCCGGGTCAGCGGGTCGGGCTTGTTTTGATCAGCTCTAACTAGTACTAGACTTAAAACCGTAAATAATTAGCCTAAAACTTGCACCATATGTCAATATTCATGCTCTGATAAGTTCAGTTTAATTTCTAATTTCCAATTTAGTTCTAACTAGTACTAGACTTATTTTAGAACATGCCCTAATAAGAGAAGGAAATTAGAAATTAAACTGAACTTATTAGAGCTGAACTAAACTGAAAATAATCGTAAATAATTAAAACCGTAAATAATTAGCCTAAAACTTATTAGGGAATGTTCTAATACGTTTATTTTCAGTTTAGTTCAGCTCTAATAAGTTCAGTTTAATTTCTAATTTCCTTCTCTTATAAAATATTCAATCCCAGTTCAGTCCAGCTCTAATAAGTTCAGTTTAGTTCAGTTCAGTTAAGCCCAGTTCAGTCAATCAGAAAAGGCCCTAACTCATATGTAAAAGACATCTATGGTAGCCTTATAGGCGTGTTACACTGGCAACATTTAATATATTCAATTTTCTATTTGATACGGAGTGGTTTGAAAAAGGTAATAAATCCTCAACATCCAAGTAGTAATGATTCATAATGGCATCTGTAATTTTACTTGAAATGTATTAATATTGTTTAATTGTCAAAAATAAGGCTTGAAACATAAGATGCAAAATTTTATAGGGTTGTCAAAAAAAAATTATAGGGGTTGCAAATTGGGTAGGATATGACAATATTGTGAGAAATTATATTTATAATTTCTCACAATATTGTCATATCCTACCCAATCAAGAAATTTTGTAATTTCTCACAATATATTGGAAAATTTAGAACCAGTATAAGATGGTTGCACCCAACACTTATGTTGGTCGAAGAAAATAAGAACAATGAGATTTGTTTTAGACCTAATAAGTAAGAATCACTTCATATTTGTTAAAACAACTAAGGGCCTGTTCACATTTACTTAATTTCAGTTTAGTTTAGTTTAGTTCAGTTCAGTTCAATTTAGCTCCTAATTTCCTTCTCTCATAAAATATTCATTTCAGCTCAATTTAGTTCAGTTTAGTTCAGTTCAGCTCCATTCAGTTCAGTTCAGCTCAGTTCAGTAAATGTGAACATACCCTTATTCTTTATCATTTTGATGGAAGTAAGGTTTAGTTTCATACTTGGTATACTTGTTGCAAACTTAATTCATTGTACCAAATGAGAATCAAAGAACAATAAATATTCTTTGGCTGAGGGAGATAAGATGTAGTAACTTGTAAGGAAACCATTGGCATACCAAGCTAATATCACTCGACCTTATTTAATCTCTTTTCCCTTATTTTTCAATGTCATAATATCAACTTTATGAACATGCACAAGCTTGCTACATTTACAATGCTATGCTTGAATGAATTTTCTGTGAAAGTTGCTACTTTCTCCAATTCATAAGGCACCCTCCCATACTGTGAATAATGATTATTAATTTTAAGTTAATGATAGTTGTTAAATACTTTAAACTAGATACAAAGTATATGATTCGATGCCATACAATCGGATGTCTGTAGTTTGATAGCTAGAGGCCTAGAGTTGTAGTCTTGCAGGTGTAGTTCTAGCCTATTCATGTTAAGTTTATTTACGTTCTCAACTTTTACTGCCTGAGATATTTAAATAGTTTGATTATATAAATTTTGAGGGTTTTTTTTTTTTGCCACAAATATTAAGCTTGTTTTATACGAAGTAAAATCTAATCGTAAAAAATAAAGTGAAGTGAATAGTTTTATTTATTTATTTATATTCCAAGTTTTGAGATGACCGGTATCAACCTAAAATGCTTACAACGTACTTGCTTCGAAACGTGAAGCACAAATCGCATGGATATATAGATCTTAGTGTGCTAAGAAATAAGCCTGAGGCAAATGCAAAGGCAGCAATAGCAACCACAACCAGCAATTGGTAACCAAAACAAAAATTGAGAAAAGTTCCAAAAAGGCAGAGACAGTTACTCTATGATTCTAACTACTCTGTCTCTTGCAATTCAATGGCCTACCACTACTATTTTTCAAAATAAAAGTCATGGCCAAAAAGCACAACAAAAGCAAAGATAACATTAAAAAAGTTGTTACTCAACAAATTTGTGCAAAAAGAACATGATTTAGAGCCTTAATTCAAAGTTAAATACAGCTACAATCAGAAACACCTGTCAATTGAATCTTTGTCATTTAAATTCAGAATTTTAAGATTTTGGATTCCTTAATAATTACTGATAATTTGCGGTCATCTTTGGGACAAAACAAATTATTGCCTCATCTTTTTTTATGATCTCTTTTAAATCCTCTAACCAATCAATGTCAAAACTTTTTTGAAAAACAGTTTAAGCTATGATAGAGAGCTAAGTAATTGTATACAAAAGGTGCTACATTTAATGATTACTTTGCATTATAAATCAGCGGATTTGAACATAGTATTACATTGAAAAAATTTGAATTACTAGCAGCATACAGATCCATTTGTAGGGGCTCTTTCTTTTGTTTAGGCCTAAAAATATGGAGAGTTAGTTAGAAGAATGATGGATTATTTGGATATGCTTAATGATATTACTAATCTTTCATGACTTGGAAATATTTATATACTCCTTTTATTTAAATCATTTGTTTTTCATATTATTAGTTCAAATTACACTATCAACGTGACTATTAATTCTGGACAAATAAGAAGCTACATAAAGTAAGAAAGCCAAGCTTGATAGAATCTCAGCCAAGTTCATTGCGGAACTAAAGTTATATGATGAAATAACTCTCCAAAAGGTGCAAGGAATTTCGTTCCCTTGAGTCAATGTGAAGGAAAGTTTCACCGGTCATGACAAAGTAAGAACCTTCGAGTCTACCATAGTGGTTAGTCACATATTGTTAGGATAATCAAGCCTCGAGTTAAAATCTAGACACAAAGGAGAAATATATAGCTTAAGTATGCCATCATATGTAGTCACAAAAGTAAGTAACATATAAAATCAATAGACAAAGTAAAGATTGTTCATATGAAAAATAGATACAAGATTCACAACTCATGAAGCTAAGGTAGTTTCACATGTCAATATGTGACAGGCACAAGAAGCTGGATAGCAATCATACCTGTAAAAGGCAAGATAACTTCTCTCCTACCATGTCTTGGTCCTTAAGTTGAGGCTTTAAATAATTTTCCATTTTATGCCCTTTACCTTTTTTTTTTTTTTTTTTGTTTGTTTGTTTAAATGTTTATAGTAATAGGATTGTATGTAGGTGACCCTTTACTGTCCAGGCCAATCCTTGAGCAATCTTCTACTTCAAGCACCCCTCTTTCAAGATAGCAGAAAGATTTACTGTCACTCTTTCATATATATGCTTTAATTTCTCTCATATATATATTATTGTTCTATTCAATTTATAAGAAAAGGGCATGTCAGAAATAAATATGGTTGGACAAACTAAGGCCTTATGATGATAATGGGAACAAAAGGATAAGTTTTCATATAAGAGACTAAGAGTAGATTGTACTGTGTAGATAAGTTACAATGAGTCGTGTTTAGAGCGGACTAAGTGTGAATGTTTGATGGACTAGCTGTCGTATTGATGGTCAGGAATCAGGATAGACTTAATATCGAACCTTATTTGTGTTTTGATACACTTCATTAAATTGAGCACATGTGGCATTGGAGAATATAAACTCCGTAAAGTACATAATAAGTAATGGAGTGTAAATACGAAAAATCATAAAAATAAAATTTATGTAGTAAAAGTGTGGATAAAATGTACATTGGAACAAATAATGTTGTTAGATGAATTTGCCAATTCACCAACTTAAGAAAATAGCAATTCTACCAAAGGAGGTCCATGACCAATGTTTAAATGCATATATAGATAATAAGTGAGGTGTATTAAAACTTTACTACAACGTACTCATTTACTTAGATCAATTTTAGAGATGATCTCTCTTTTTTGAAAGAAGAATAAAAAGGAAGTTTATTGGGACCTTCAGGCTACAAACTGTCCCTTGTAAAAAGGTCAGGAATTTCTCACTTTCACTACTTTTATTTTTGTATTGTATTGTAAATTAAAGAGTAACAACATAGGCAGTTTAGTCATTTCATGTTATACAATTTTTAAAAAAATACTTGTATATACTAAAGTTTAATTAAATTTGATAAGTTGGTTCATTGCCTTAAAAGCAAAACCTGATGAGAATCCAATAAGCAAACTGTGCAACAGGAAGTAAAGAAAGAAGATAAGCTAAGTGCGGTTATTAAACAAAAAAAAAAAAGAGGTGCTATATATTTAGAAGATCAGGTGATTTGTTATATATTGGAAATAATGACAACACCAAAACAGATTTGGGAGCAACAACAACAACAACAGCAACAACAGGGTATGAAAACTAAGAATTCGGGTACTATGAGTTTCATGGGAAGTCCAAATATGGAAGACAAGGATGAAGAGATGTCGAAGTCGGTGTTATCGGCTTTTCGAGCCAAGGAAGAAGAGATCGAGAAGAAGAAGATGGAGGTTAAGGAACGTGTTCAGGCTCATTTAGGTCGTGTTGAAGAGGAAACTAAGCGTCTAGCTGAGATTCGCGAGGTACCAGTATATTTTTTTTTTTAATTTATTGGTCGGGTTGTTTTGGGTTAGGTCATTTTACTTTTAGTTGGTAGTGTCGGGTTTGTGTCAATGAATCTAATTTTTCGAGTTATAATTCAATGTTTATATTTAGCAATCCTACCTTCTAACTTTAGGAATACTAGAACAAGAACAAAATTAAGAAGATTCAAGTGGCATAAATTTATTTCATACTTGGTGTTAATGTAAATTTGAATTTGAAATCATATTCCTTAGCAATAGTACCATGAATAAATTGTAAAGGTGTACTTAAAATTGTAGGAACTTGAAGCATTAGAAGATCCAAAGAGGAAGGAAGTTGCATACGTTCGAAAGAGGATTGATACTATCAACAAAGAGCTAAGGCCACTTGGATTTACATGCCAGAAGAAGGTAATCTTCTCACATTTTTCTGTTTTTTTTTTTTTTTTATTTTGTTTTAGAATGAATTGAATTAAAATAGTTTGTTGAACGGTCCTTGCTTATTTTGTATTTACGTACTCGTAGTATTAAATATACATTCGGCTTATGGGTGGTCAATAGGAAACAACCCCAGCCTAAATTAATTATGTCCAACAACCTCTTTTGTCATCTCATTATAGGCGAGAGTATCTTAAGTGATAGGTTTTGACTATATTATTGTTTCGAGGAAAGTTTTATAGTACCAGTAATAGTCCATCCTCTTTTTGATATTCTCATTTGAATTTAATAGGAACGAGAATACAAAGAAGCACTTGAATCCTTCAATGAGAAAAGCAAGGAAAAATCTCAACTTGTTGCCAAACTAATGGAGGTAACAAATGTAATCACAACTTTCATCTATTATTGGTTTCAATATTTACTTAATTAAATTAATCACAATTTTAGTTATTTAATTATAAATAATTATTGTTGTATAATTTGCAGCTGGTGAGTGAAAGTGAGAATCTGAGGTTCAAGAAGCTGGAGGAGCTCAGCAAGCATATTGAATCTCTTCATTGATTTAATTTTATGATTCTAATTCAGTATCATTAACTGGCTGATTATTAGCACTTTTTTTTTTTTGGCGTGGTTTACTAGAATTGATTTGTTTGATTTTGTGTATTTTTTTTTATATTTTTGGGGTTACGGAATTCATATTGTTAGCTGGACATTTTAGAGAACTTGCTCCATTTGGAAATTGTTGTGTTGAAATGTGAATAATATGTGTATTATACTTCTATAATACTTATAAAAGTTTTCAGATTTGTATACAATTTTTGTGTGTTATGGAATATCTTGTGTTGTGTATGTTGCTAGTTGATTAAGATCAATATGCTAAATGGAAATAAAATTCACTTACCTCAATATTTTGTCGTGTTTTGTGTTTTGCTTTGTGTAAGAAATTGCAAGGATGTCTAAGTTACCGTTGCTAAGAATGATGAATATCATAGAGTAAATAGATTATTTATATTCAAAAAAAAAAAATTAAGACAAATTATTTGCTTAATTGCCCCTCACCAATATGCCAAAGTATGTACTCATATTTCATATTTTCAATATGTATTATGTCAATAAATAACATGTCATTCCTCAAATGAGGGCTAATGGGCTATGTATGTATGAGGTGAAAAATTGAAATTGCTGAAATAAGACCAAGTGCAATTTCAAAACTTTACTTATAGGTCCAATCATTCTAAGCATATACTTCTTATTATGTTAATTGAGAATAAAAATTTAAATCACTAAATTGAATTGATCAAATTACATTTCCCTTCTAATATTTTAATTATTCAATCAATTTTGGATGAAACACCAAACGAATGAACCACTAATGATACCCATGATTCCATGAAAAACAAATTCTTGTACTTTGTAATTATATAACTAATATATAAAGCTAAACTTTTAGCCAGGTCACGACGTTACAACACTTGGCGTTAGAGAACGCCAAGTGTCGCACCACGTTGGAGCAATTTAAATAAACTTCATAAGATAAAAAAAATATATAGAATTTTAGGATAAAATTTAAAGTTTATAATTTTATTTTCGATAAAAGACCAATATTTTAGAGATACAAATTGAATTATAATTTTATTCAAAAAAATTATTAGATTATAATTCTTAAAAATTATCATATAAATTAAATTTTTTTATGACATAATATTCAAACTTTGCTCAAAGTTTTAGGTTCGGGTCAACCCAACGGGCTTTAAACATTTATCTTATTTAATTTATTATTTGTTTATTTTTTAATGTATTAAATCGAACATTTCCACCAATATTAGTATTAGTCATTACATGTCTACTAGATAGCAAATCGTCACAAAAGCACATCAATAAACTAATTTTGTATCAATGGTATATTTTAAAATTTGACATATAGATTAAAAATTTTATCTTTAAATTCAAAAAACAACCCGGGTATTGCACGGGCAAAAAACTAGTTTCAATATATAAACCACAAAATTAGTTATAGCTAAAGTAATATGTTTTCATAAAGGTATCCAACTATCAATTTATAACGGCATAAAAAAGTACTCCTTACCATTAAAGAAAATAATATTCAATTTTATAAGTTCGTAGATTGTTTGTGACCAATTTCATGACAGATTATTGATCACATAATGACATAAATTCACTCTATTCTTATACCGTAAATTTTAACAATTACAATATTTCATACAAATTTATCTTGATGATAAACCAAATTTGTTTATCTAATGATATTTTCGTAAATAAATCAATAAAAAATATCAGTTAGACATTTTTGAAAATCTATAAATATAACTAAATTAACAACCGCTGACATCATCCCCTATTTTAAATTGTACAAATGTCAAGTTGTGGTAAAATAAATTCCCTCCTAAATCAATTGTTGACATCATATTCTTATTTTTATTTTTACTTATTTTTTTGAAATCTTCTTAAATTTTGTCTTAAATTATTAAATAATATATTTGGAGTATATTTTTTTAAGACAATTATTATATTATGTTATTTTCTATTTATTTTTTTTTACATTATTATGAATTTTTAAAAAACTATATGTCTTCCAAATATAATTCACAAACTTTTTAAAAAATCGGGTGTACAATAATTATTGTACATCCATTATAAAAATAACCTAAAGTAATTAAAAGTTACCCCAATATGTGTTAAAGTAACCTAATTCAAATAAAAATTATTTACGCTTTATTAGTAAAGAATCGCATTTTAAATGACTAAAAATCAATTATTAGTGATTGAATGTAATTAAATTACCTTTATAAAACTTTTCTTGTTGTTGATTATATAAAAAATTTATTATGTTTAAAGTTACCCAAAAAAAGACAAAAAGTTATCCTAAAATTAGCTAAAAGTTACCCTTATACTGCTCGATGTACACTAATATTAGTGTAAACCGGATGTATACAAAAGTTTTTGAATAAAATTTTTACTATCTTCAAAATTATTTAGATCTAAATACCATTGCAATTAATGATTATGTTTCTATATAATTTTTTTTTTCTCATATGAGGTACATGTATAAAATATATTTATTTCAAAAAAAAATTTATGTCGTCCATCGCACGAGACTAATTTAGTTTATAACTATAGATCACCGTGCATGGCACATGATCAAACCTAGTAAATTAATATTTGTGGGACCCGCATATTAATAAAAGTTGTTTACTTATTTACAAAAATATCATACTGACTAGAATAAATGGTTGATAAACTTACGAAAATATCATTAGATAAACAAATTATATCGTTGATATACTTTCGAAAATATCATTGGATAAACAAATCATCAACAAGAATGGGGATCCCTTAAAATCTCGTCTACAGCCGAGCCCGACCCCCTTTTAAAAAAAAACACAACTTGGCATGACCGCATGAAGGATCACTAATTCACTAGTTAAGCATTCTCTGAAATCCAAATCAAACAATTTGGCGGATGCCGAAAAAATGGAGCTCCAAAACCCTAACAATGGCGAAGGAGAAACTAAACCCAAAATAGTGGTTATTATGGGTCCAACCGGGTCCGGAAAATCAAAATTAGCCATTGATTTAGCAACCCATTTCCCAATTGAGATCATCAACGCTGATTCCATGCAAGTCTACCATAGCTTGGATGTTCTCACCAACAAAGTCACTCTCTCTGAACAGAAAGGTAACTTCTTTCTCTTTCTCTCTCTAATTTCTCTCTCTTGATTTTCTGAATTTGGGGTTTTGTGTTGCAGAAGTGCCACACCATCTTCTGGGAACAATAAGCCCTAATGTGGAATTCACTGCAAAAGATTTCCGAGATGCTGCTATTCCTGTAAGATTTTGCACCTTTTTTTTTGGGTTAATTTTTGTACTGTAGTTGCTAATTTGGGTCTGATTTGAATTCTAGGTTTATGAACTCTTTAATTGATTAATAGTGATTATGTATGCATTATTATGCGTTAAGCTCCTAATTTAGAAGGGGTGATTTCTTGACAATAATGAATAGTCACTTTGATAGTGTATTTTGAACTACCCCAGCTTGAGGGAGTGGTTTGTTTTCCCATTTTTGCCGGGCATTGTTGTTGAATTCATGGAAAGAACAATTAGAAGACTAGTAGTTGATATATATGCCAACACTTACCCTCTTATAGATGAATATAGGTCCATTTTGCTTCTCTGTTGTAAATAAGTAGACCAAATTACAGAACTGTGTCATAAACTTTGGAAATTCTAGTTTTAACACTGATTTTCTTTACATCAATGTATGTTGGTAATTGATTGTTTTGGATAAAACTGAATAATAATCGAGGAGGCGTTGTTGTTCTATCTTATAAGCATCAACAGTTGCCGCTTGTTAGTTTATTTGTTCGGTAGCTTATTTTTGTTTTGGGACAATGAATCTCATTGGCATCTGATGCTGCCTTTTTGAAGTTAAATTGCATTTTGATGCTTCTCTGCTAGAATTTGGAACCTGTTATTTTCCTTCTTGTGTTTGTTTTGGTCGTTGGGGACCTTTTAGGGGTAGGGTTCGATGTGGGAGGAGTTGTTTGGGGGGGAGGGTAGCACCCCAGTCTATGCACTTTGTCCACACTTGAACACACCTTAGGAAACTTTCTTAAAGATCCCCTATCCTAAAGACTAGTCTTACCGAAGCACACTAAACCCTCTTACTCAAAGCACTTATGTTTAAATGTGGAGTGTCTCGTTGTTTTGATGGAAGGGATAGATTTCATATAAATCAATTACTTTCCTTGTAATCTAATGATATGGGACTTTAGTATTATAGATGTCAAGTCTCAAGAAGTCAAGAGGAAGGATGGGTTGAGGAAGTGGGGTTGATTTAACTAATCTTTTCCTTTGACCCGCATCTGGTTTCTTATTGTTGCAACTGTTTTGTGTGATAAACTTCTGGAAAAACTAATTGTAAATTTGCAATTTGTGATTGTAAGAAGTGCATTATGGAATTGCAGATTTTTTTTTTTGATTTTGTTTGTTATTTGTGGTATTAGCATTTAGATTCACTGTCACTGGCATATGGAAATCTGCCCCCCTTTTTTTTCATATGCATTTTTTGCTGACTGTAATTTCCTAATTATCATCCTTTGTTAGTTCAGCATTTTTTTTAAAAAGAGAATTCATCTTTATTTTAGTACAGAAGCAATGTATGTCGCTATGTGTAACAACCTTTGTTGGATTTTCAGATCATCAAGGATATATTATCTCGCAATCACTTGCCCGTTATAGTTGGTGGTACTAATTTCTATATACAGGTATGATTTTGGGTTCATTTTGGCCTTTTAAGCTTTCTAACTATGTAGCCATATTTTCTACAAAAAATCGGGCAATATTTTAATTTTTTTTATACATATTTTCAAGCATGGTGTATTATGTTTTCTGTCTTTGCATAAGCTCTCATTTTTCTAAATCCTAGTTGACTGTACATTGGAAATGAAGTAATGCTCTAATTCAGTACTTAGTTCATTTTTTTTAGTTGACACATTTGACTTTTGACACTATGTTAAAACTATACTTTGAGTATCTTTTGTGATTTTTAGCTATGATAAAACATAGTGATGTGAGATCTTGTTAGATCGTCTCAATGAATGTTTTCATATATTAACTTTTTTCTTTTTTTTTTCTTTTTAATTTTTTACTTTTTGATAACTAGTGATATTATTCGTTGAACTTGTGCGTTGGAAACTTTGATAAAAGAAACATGTCAAATAAAATAAAGAACGGAGGACGAATATATCTAGCCGTTTCATTCTGGTTCTTATGTACCTTTTATGGTCTATTGTACCTAATGATGCTCTACTTAATCTGTGTTGCATGCAGGCTCTTGTGAGTTCTTTCCTGCTTGATGATTCCGTTGAAGAAATAAGTGATTCATGTTTAAGGGAGAATTCAGGTAAACACAAAGGTTATCATTTGATAGAAGAAAGTCTACTTATCTACACTTATTGTTTTCTTTAAAAGCAAATATCTTAAATCTTCATAGAAAATAAGCACATTTCAGACCAATTTGGATCTTTTTGTCAGGCTTTGATAATAATCTAAACTTTTCTTTTGTAGATGTTGCTAATCTGCAAAAATGTGAACTTTTTGAGCAAGGCAGTTGTGATTACAGTTATGACCGCCTTAGAGACCTGGATCCTGTGGCAGCGAACAGAATACATCCAAACGACCATAGAAAAGTAAAATCTTCAATCTCACATTCTGTGTCCATCAATTTGAATTTGTATTTGGAGTTAGGGAAGGGGGTTAAAGATATGTGTGACAATAAATATATTTTGCTAAGATACCCTTTGCAATGCTTCTGGACCATCATCTGATTAATATTCAGTCATAAGATTGATAACCTTAGAAATTTCTTGAAGTTGATCAATAAAGTGAATTTGATGCAGTTTAAGGCCGAAACTGAGTATAATACTGTTGGGCCGTTGGCTAATGGCTATAAGCCTATAATAGATCAGAATATCGGCTGTCGACTGCATCATTTATTTGGTGATTAACTCAATATTCATCACCCGCCCAAAAAATATAACTTTTTTGAAGTCATGCGACTCATGCCTGCTGCCTATCAATCTTTTTTGTTAATGATGCTTGACTGTTGTGGTCTGATGTTTCTGCTAATCAACTAACATGATTTGTGTTGAATTTGTTGAAAATTTTGCAGATTAGGCAATATTTAGAGTTGTTCACTCATTCTGAAATCCTCCCTAGCCAACTCTTTCAGGGAGAAATGACAGAGGTTTGTATTCTTAAGATATTAACAGACTGCTTTAGAATTGTCTTTGTTATATTGGAACTTGGCTTGATTAGGTAGACTTGTATTTCCATCTTGTATCTGGATAAATGCCTGTTTTGCATGCTGTTCAGCCTTTTTGACTGCTCGCCATAATTTTATAAGCAAATATGGCCTGTACTGGGAAAATATTAGAAGATGGAATAAAGTCACTAACTATATTTGAAAATTAAATTCTCTTTCATGGCATGGCATCATCTCTATGCATCTTTTTGTGTAAGTTTCAGTTTTTTGTGGTCGGTCAAGGAGTTGGAATAAAGTCAAATTTTGAATCTTTTGCTTAAAAATCGTTTCACTTTTATGTGGCAGACAGAAATGGGGTCGTCTTGGTTGTAATTCAAGATACAACTGCTGTTTTGTTTGTGTTGACGCATCGCTTCCTGTACTAGACCGATTTGTGGACCAGAGAGTTGATCGGATGATTGAAGCTGGTTTGCTTAATGAAGTTTATGACATTTACAACATGAATACAGATTATACACGAGGTCTGCGACAAGCTATCGGAGTAAGGGAATTTGAGGATTTTCTTTGTGCTAATATTTCCGAAGTGAGGAAGGAGCGGAACAATTCTTTCCTGGATACAGCTTCACTGAATAATACTGATGTATCTCTCAGACAAAATTTGTTGGAAGTTTCAAGTTCCTCTTCTAATACCCCAGATAGGCGCCTATTGGAAGAAGCCATTTCCAAACTAAAACAAAACACTAGACGACTTGTTCGTCGGCAAGTAAGTTTTTTGTCTTCTGCCTTGTTATTATTTTACTTTTAAAAAAAATAAAAATAAAAAATTTATTTTAATGATGGATGTGAAGTAGTGAACCCACAAATTGCAACTATGCTATACTTGTGCAGTTCAAAATTTTCCGGTGCACTGTGTTTTAAAAAGGGAGGGTTGCTATGATATTTTCACATAAACTCATTAATTTCCGTCCTCCACAAATGTCCTTATATATCTTCACATAGTCACTTTCACTTTACTGAGTCGGGGAAAGATCTTGCCAGGGATTGCTTCAACTCTTTGCCCCAAAATTAAGTGTATCTTCAGTTCTGACACATATTAAGGACAATCATATTACAATAGACAAATTTTTTTCTCTTGACAATTTGCCTCTAACAAAAGGATCATTTCTTCAATAAATCAATCAATTAATGTGATATATTCGAGGATCATACATTATTACTTTGGAAGGAAAATAAGTCATCTTTTCCAGGAAAATATTGAGTAACTTGTATGATTCTCTTTTTCATGGATTCAAATTTCAGATCCTCTAAATCATGGACACTAGAGGGAGTTAATCAGTTAATTGCTGGTCATTATTGTTATTTTGCAGAAGAGGAGGATAAATCGATTGCAGACATTATTTGGATGGAACATACATTTTGTAGATTCTACCGAGTCTTTACTTGGTAATCCTTTTGGAGTCTTTCTGTTTTTGACATTTCCTGATGGACAAATATTTTATCTTGAGAGTTCTACTGGTCTGTTTCAATTAATTTTTAATCTTATGGGAAACACTGATTTTTCAGGAAATTCAGAGGATACATGGATTTCCCAAGTGATTGAACCAGCTGCAAAAGTAATAAGCTCTTTCCTCAATTCTGATGTGACCTCAGCTTCAGATAATACTGACCACTTGGTCCAGAAACTCAATGAGAGAGATCTATGGACTCAGTACACGTGCAAGGTACAATTAACCATTAATGGATATTACACTCATTGTGTGATGAAGCTACTTTGTTGCACAGAAACTCTTGAGGATCGTGTTACTGTTCTCAGTTCTTACCCCATAAATTTTTATAATTTCTATAAAATAACCCTAATTTCTTTCTTAATGTATGTTTTTGTTGATAATAGTGAAATATTTTTAGGTTTCTGGACAATAGTATTGATACATTATTTTAGCTTTTGCCTTTCCAAATTTCATAGTTTCCTTGTTTTTGCTTTTCTATTTTCCATGTCAGCAACATAGTCAGCTAATTTCGAAGGTTTTGACGTATTTTCTCTCTTGCTCCATTTTTGTAGGCATGTGACAAGATCCTTCGTGGTGCACATGAGTGGAAACAACATAATCAAGGGCGTGGACATAGGAAACGGATGGCAAAGCTAAAGAAGCGTCAAGGTTCTTTCTTAACCGACTCTTTACAGCTTCCAGGGGGTGACTGTGTAAGTTCAGATGCATCACAAGTGTAATGGCGCTGAAAATCATTCTTTGCTGTCTTTCTTAAATTTTTATTTTGGAGATTGGGGTGTGGTCCGTATGGAAAGGAGCTGTTTGGGAGAGTTGGTCTTTGATGTTGTCTAAGTGTGTGATGCTTACATGAATCCCTTGTTCTTCCTGTCTTATATGTATAGAGCTGTTGCTCATGTTATTGTAGGTTGCATATGTACTACAAGTATCTTGATATTTACACCTACTCTTGTATAAGACTGATTTGCATTGATATCTCAAATTTTGGGGGTTAACTTACATGTTGTACTACAAGTATCTCATATTGATCTCCCCAGCCTCATGCTTGCCTAAGATGCCTTAGTTGCCTATATAAGGTACAGTTGGTCATCAAAGTAGTGACAGCGTTATTGATTTTTTTTTTTGGACAAGATTTTTTTTGTTAATGTTAATAGTCGCAATGTTAAGTATGTACATACTTATTTGGTTAGTGTTAGAATTGTTTGAAGGTGGCCAATGGTAAGGCAGTTCCTGTGTAAATAAGATCAGTACGGGTACTTGGGGTGAGTGTTGGGGCAAGGATGTAGATGATCCTTCAAACGACCAAATGCCTTTTCAAATGACTCATTCTGGGAAATTTTCTCAAAAATGAAGTAGATGTGTGGGATGTTCCCAGGGTCAAAAAGTTGGTTTAAAATTGTAAGACCTATCAAATATCAATATGTTTATTTAGTCTCGTGAATGAGGTTGGCTTAGTTATGTGGCTATTTTAGAATTAAGTACTATGTTGCATTGGTAGTGAAAAGCTATAAGATATTGTTATTTACAATTTACATTACCAACTTGGCATCTCGGGGTTCTATTAAGATGTCGGGAAACCTTCATCTTCGTTGGGTTTTTATTCTTTAAATACATTAGTATTAGAATTTAATTAACATATAGTTTTGAATAATTGCCGTAAAGTTGTTAATGGAAAGCTAGTTGAAGATAACAAATGCTACTAACAAACCTCATGTAATTTGTTAACAGTTAAAACACACTAAAACAAATTTTATTAAATTGAGGAAGCTATTTATTCAAAAAAAAAAAAAAAAAAAAAAAAAATTGAGGAAGCTATTGGTCGGTGATATTAAGTTGCTAAACTAGTCAAGCATTGGTCGTTGGTATCTTAAATGACTATCAATAGCATAAACATTGATTAAAATAAAATGTTTTTGTTATTGTTGCCAAGTCTAATCAAAGAACTATTAAAACACAAAAACGTTCGTTTAGCTTTTACGAATAAAAGTCTCTATCACATCCAACTTAAAAAGTTATTTGAGGTTGGATTAAAAAATATATATATTATTTCGTGCATCACGAGTTCACCATGCTACCACCACCATACTTTAAGATAAGAGTGGTAATGTAGTATCTAGTTATTTACCATAAATAGCTTTTGTTAATTGTTATTGTTGTGCTAGGTTATGTGTGTAACTATTGTTATCCTCAAGCATGATTTGTGAAGTGCGAACCATCCTAATTCCTAAATATGTTACCAACCTGTCACAAGCCCCAATCGACCTACAACCTAACCCAAGTGGTCAACCCCATACTGTTTATGACCAATCTAGCCCAACCTGCAACCCTGATCGGTTAAAGCTTGCGACTCGTTTTTCAGTCCTAGCCACCTACTTTTATATAAAGTAATTATTATGAATTTGAATTTATATTTTTTTATTTTTATGGTGAAACTACTTCATCACTATTAGAGCTGGCAAAAAGTTGTGTCGTGTTGTGTTCATGTTTGGTCTCGTGTCGTGTTCGGGTTGATTTCGTGTCATGTTGACTTCGTGTTTTCTCTCAATAACTTCGCGTTCGTGTCGTACCAATTGCAGTCGTGGTGTCATGTCGTGTCAGAATTTTGTCAGCTCTAATCACTATATTAAGTCCATTGGTCTTTTTGATGTAAACAATCGTCTAATATCTTATCAATGTAACTATGTAAGACACTACATACCTTAATCACATGTGATATTTCATGAGACCAGAGCTTCCACAACAATTTTACCACCAAGTGATAGTTTATGAGACTAGAGCATCAACAACAAATATACTAGCACTAGAGAACTTTACTTCGTACTCCGTAGTTTCTAAAGTGGGGGACAAAAACCGTCCTTCAACATCAATCACCAGCTATTTCTATCTTTTCGCCTTTACAAAACCGTCCTTCACGTCCCGCCGTTATCTATTTAGCACGTTGTTTTTTGATTTTATTTTTGTGTCCCACAATCCCATTTTTTTCACGTGCTCCATAACATTATTTTTTCGTCACGTGTGATGTGTCAAGTGTGACGTGCCAATTTATAGATGATACCAAAATAAATTCATACATATATTTCCATTTTTTGACCCATTAAGTAATAACTACATAACCCAATATCATCCTCACATTAAGCTATGAACCCACAAATATCATCCCAAGTACCATACTCACCTCCATCAAGTAGTGGCGAGTCCGATGATATAACATCCTTGGACTCGCCTAGTTTCCAATCAGCTCCACCACTCAGTACCTCACTGAGTGGTGAAGCTACATGTCCTCCCCACAAGCGGAAGGCAGGAAGGAAAAAATTCAAAGAGACGTGCCACCCTATTTTTCGTGGGGTTCGCGAGAGAGATGGAGGGAAATGGGTGTGTGAAGTACGTGAGCCTAACAAGAAAAGTAGGATATGGCTAGGGACTTACCCTACGGCAGAACTTCCAGCTAGGGCACACGACGTTGCAACCCTAGCTCTAAGGGGTGACAAAGCTTCTCTCAACTTTCCTGACTCGGCTTGGCTTGCTCCTCGAGCTAAGTCTAGCTCAGCTCAGGACATTAGGCTCGCGGCTTTACAAGCCACTAGGTCCGATCTTGGCTCTTCCTCACCTTATGAAGGTTGTAAGAGTGAAGATATGGGAGAAAAATCATCAATGAGCTTTGAATCCAAAGAGTTATTGTTTATCGATGAAGAAGTAATTTATAATATGCCAGCTTTCATTGATAGCATGGCTGCCGGTATGCTTCTTACACCGCCTTCTTTAAAAAGAGGAGTGAATTGGGATGAAATGGAGGAAGATGAGGCTAATTGTCATATAGATTTAAATTTGTGGCAATAAAGCTAAATTAATTAGAGAATTTTATACAACATCATTTTAGGGCATGCAATGTATAACATGTGTGGCTTTTAGCGTGAGCTAGATTGGTTTAACTACCCAATCTCCAGTGCTTTAAGAGGCCGTGAGCCCGTGATCGAGTGGTTCCGCGAGCCTATTATGTACACCCGGGGTCATTTGCCCATTCAATCAACAAATAAGTACAAATATTATTTATTCATTTGTTGATTAAATGAGCAAATGACCTGAGTGTACGGTACACCCGGGTGTATATAATAATTTCTAATAAGTGGTTCCAATTCATCATCTTCAATTCTATATTATAGTTTTAGAATTGAATCTAGATCATAATTTTGGTCGAAATAATGTTTTTTTTCGTAATAATATTGTCGCATGATGAATTGCTAAAGCATGAATATGGTGGACCTTAATAACATTCGTTTCCCAACAGGCTGGAGTATTGAGTAACAAAGCTACTTTACCACCTATAGCCAGAAAATCTCCACCACTCAACTTAAAAGGTGAATGATTGTCGCAAGAAACTTGTTAAAATGTACAACGTGGTACATACTCAAGAAATTGAATCCCATCTACATCATTGCCTTTAATAGGAGTTCGACCACATCACTTAAGAAGAACTCCAGCCCTAAATATTGAAGGGTTATTGAGACAACAATAAAGGACTTTTTTTTTTTTAATTCCAGGACCACATTGTGTAATACCATACCCATGAAGTGAATGAAATAAAGTTTTTCCGTAATTGAACTGTAGTGCATGAATTATTTGGTCAGATATGATGTACCAAGTATATATGTGTATGTGTTACCTTATTTAAATTATTGGTACATACTCGTGTTATTATTCAATGGTTAGTAATTTCTTCATCATTGTATATATATAGGACCACCTTCTTCTGTGGTACCGTCTACCGGGCTCGGCATTTTATGCTCACTAATATCTTCTCATACTTGAATTCATTTATGTTTTCCCATTGCTTTAATTATTCATTCAATATAATCCTGTCTTTTGATAATACTTTCAATTCCTGTATTCACATAATTTGAATTCAAATTCATATATAGCTTAGAGTTGAAATTTTGGCCTCTATATATACCACTTTATCTAATCCAAGTTTGAAGCTGATATGAATGTACATCGGTACATGAGTTACACTTTCAATGTTACTATAAATTTCGGACTAAGTAATTGTTAAATGAGCATTACATGAACAATAATACTTCCTCCGTTAAATATTAATTGTAACAAAGGGGTATTATTTGTGACATATAAAATATTCCTTTATTGCAATTAACATTTTACGGAGGAAGTATGAAATTATAAGCTGAAAAAGGCCCTGCCCTTGCTACCTTGCAGTCCTTTGGATTTCAGCTTGTTTTCATTTCTTATTCCAACTACCAAGTACAATATTGAATATTCTGTCTATAACTAGCTTTTCCAGGGGTAAAAAGATAGAGGAATAGTTGGGCCAATGCATTTTCGGTCACTTTGTGAAGGCCCAACATCATATTGCACCAGGCCCAACTTTACAAGGTCATCTCTCCTCCATTCAACTTACTTTATGCCTTTAAGTTAGTTTTTGACAATTTGAGCTTCAACCTAAGTCATAATAAGTAGTAATTATGAAGTAGTAATGTGAGACATTGTCTGAATTTGAGCTTAGCTTTAGCACTATATTTATAATCTTACTTGTTCAAACTTGATTGTTGAAAGGGCCAAAAGATCAAATCACAACAAACGGGATTATGTTAGGTGTACTTGGGTGTTGGGTACGGTGGGGGAGGTTTGTATATGCGTTGAATCAGTTAGTCTTTAATTTACGAGTATTTTACTCCTTAACCCCCTCCATATGATTATCATGGGTGTTGATTTCATGAATTTCTCATACATCCGTAATAACATGAGGCATGAAGGGGGTACGCTGTTCTAAGGGAGGACAGCAATGGAGTGGTCTTGCCACATTTTATATGTAGTCTTTTTATCTACTACCGTATATTTTTGGTGTTTAGAGAGCCACAAGGGCGAGGGTGAAAATCGATCTCAGGATCTCCTGGAATCGGGAGGGAAGCTCTAACCACTTGAGCTATCCATCACTCTCAATTTTACACGTATATAATTAAATATATCCACACAATGGGAGCGTGAAAAGTCAAACAGGGAGTAGTAAATTTAAGTGGCAAGGTATTGTTCCTGCCTCACTTTACACTACTGTTTGATTCAGATGTGTCAAAAGTGTAACGACCTGACCCAAAATCTCAGTTAACTTAGCTAGATGTAGAAACCTAAGATAAGGGAGTTGTTGAAGAGAGAATCTTAGTCAAACAAAGTTATTTGGTCTTTAAAATTTCTAATCAAGGTGTGGTTTTGCTGGGATTTATATTTAATTAAAGAAGAATACTGGTATAATTAAGGTGTGAAAAGATTATTGAATAATTGGAATTCCTCGTGAAAATTGTGTAATCCTAGTATATGGTGTATTGTTTATGGTATTGTGCATTTTTGTGCTGTACTACCTCAAGATTATTCTCTACTCTTTTGTCAGGGTGCCTATTTCGTGACTCACGAATTGTACAATTGAAAATGATGTGCAATTATGATATTGCATAATTCAGTTATCTTTATTGGTGACCACAAATGACATCGTGCGGGGAAAATATATTTTTGTAAGTATGATAATACCGTGATAATGTAAAGTGGACCTATATCATGAATATAAAGAACTCTCTTAAAAGCATCCAATCAAATTTAAACCTTCTATTAGAATATTAAAGTCGCATTAAGCTTACATATTGGTAAATAAACATGCTATTTAGAAAATTTAGCATTCATATGTACGGTACATATAAATCAAATAGAATGATTTAATGTACCTACTCAATCCGACCTAATTTATATATGCGTCCCTTTGAGATATGCAACTCAAGTTATGTAGATTTATTGTGTACAACAAGTTATGTAGATTTATTGTGTACAACATGTAAGGCTGAGTATGTGCGTATGAACACGTATAGAAGCCACAATATTTCTATTTTAGACAATGGTCACATATAACTTCTTTTTTTTTACTGCATGCATGTTACTTGCATTGCTTAATAACACCATTAATATTCTTAATATTCGTTTATTCAACGCTGTTTTCTCATCTTCAATTTGATTACACTTTACTCCTATGATAATTGAGAAGACAAGTGTGTAATCAAATAGAATGATGTTTTATTGATTAGGCAAGGCTAGCTGCATGCTTAACTTGATGATGAGTGGATGGTATTTTGTAATTATCGTTTAAAACGCACATTAATTGGCTAGACGAAGAGATTTATTCAATTATTACTGCATACATAATTACATATTATATAGTCAGATTATCGTAATTAATCACCCATCAGCACTAATTACTGAAAATCTAATTAAAAATCCAATATGTTTACCAAGGTGCAGTGCGTGGACTCGTGGTGCATGCTTCATTATTCGATTCTCAGCAACTTTGTGGTAATTTATCAATGAAGCATTTTTTTTTTTTTTTTTTTTTGACACAATGAACCAATCTTTTAAGAATTGATAATTGAGGGCTTGTTTGACATCATTTTTGGTTTTTAGTTTCCTGTTTTTTTGAAAACCAAAAACAAGAAACAAAAAAAAGGTGTTTCCACTTTTCTGTTGTCAGTTTTCAAAATTATTATAATTTTAATATGTTTAAATAATTTTTGATTTATTATGGGACATATATCCTATACTTTTAAAAAACAAAAAAACCAAAAAACAGAAAACCACAGCAATGTCAAACTCTGAGTAAATAGTTTACTTTACACTAAGTAATTTGTTTAACGCAAAAGTAATTAATTTTCTTTGTTCTCTATACAGTACTACAACTTTGTGGTTTTGAAATTACACCTTTTGTTTTTAGTGTGTTTGTGTTGAAAAAAGTGGAAAGTAGAGTGAAATAATTAGTGGACTGTATCATTTGTGTAAGATTAAGGTCTGTTCACGTTTACAGAAATTAACTGAACTGAACTGATTGGGGCTAAACTGAACTGAACTAATTAAACTGAACTGAATAAAGTTGAAATGAATATTTTATTAGAGAAGGAAAATTGAGAGTTGAACTGAATTAAGCTGATTGAAACTGAATTGAACTGAACTAAACTGAAATTAAGTTGAAATGAACAGGCCTAAGTAGAAAGGATAGGTAATAAGTTCTATATGAAGTCAATGTATTGTATGTAGGGGTGAGCATGGGACGGGTACCCGTACCATTAGTACCCGGACTTCGGGTACCCGAATTTTCGGAACGGTTATTGGATACCTAATAAAGTATCCAATAGTGATAATTAAACTTAATAAATTATTTATTATGATAAATTTTAACATTAATTAACAACAATACAACATGATTTGACCAAATTATGAATTATATTACTAATCATTAATATTATATAGTGATTATTAATTATATTACTAATCATTAAGAGTTTAGATTTTGGAAAAAAATAGATTTAAGTAGGATAAAAAACAAAAAATTGCTTATCGGTTCGGAACGGGTAACCGTTAATTTTAAAATGATACCCAATAACCATATCCGATAACAAATTATCAAAACGGGTACCCGAACCGTTATGGTTATCGGATCGGGTACCCTAATTTTCGAAATGGTAACGGAACGGATTTTCAGTTATTCGGGTAGTTTTGTGTGGTAGCAAGGAGTAAGAATTAAAGGGAATAAACAATAAAGAGTGCCAAGGTTGGAACAAAAAAGTAGTGTACCAACGAAACGAAATGAGCATAGCTTGTACTCAGTTGTAAACCCTAATCTAAGGATGGCCTTTAAATTAAAGGGAAATTCTACATGGTGGCCTCATGGTTTCCATTTTTCTACGTGGAAGACGAAGTTTTTTCCAACTCTCTAAAGTGGCCCCAAGGTTTTGAAGTATTATGCATAGTGCCCATTTTTTGATTTTTTGGCTAACTTTTTTAGCTTTTGGTTAGCCATAAGTAAAAATAAAATAAAAAAAAATATTTAAAAAGAAAAAAAATAAAGAAAACTACCAACCACTAGCGAGCCACCCACGGTAGCCGACGCGCCACCACCCCCTTCCCCCCACCTCACCGCACCCCTCCCCGAAACCACCAGCCGCGTCGCACCACCACCCCCTACCCACCGGAACCCTTCCCCTCCCTTTCCCGCAGCCGCCTCGCCCCCAAAAACCACCAAACCCAAAAACGCACCACCACCCCCTACCCAAAAACGACCACGAATTTGGCCTTAAAAGGCCGAAATCGGCCGATCAAGGCCACTGAGCCCCAAAATTGGCCGAATTCGGCCAAATTCGTGGTCGTTTTTGGGTAGGGGGTGGTGGTGCGTTTTTGGGTTTGGTGGTTTTTGGGGGCGAGGCGGCTGCGGGAAAGGGAGGGGAAGGGTTCCGGTGGGTAGGGGGTGGTGGTGCGACGCGGCTGGTGGTTTCGGGGAGGGGTGCGGTGAGGTGGGGGGAAGGGGGTGGTGGCGCGCCGGCTACCGTGGGTGGCTCGCTGGTGGTTGGTGGTTTTCTTTATTTTTTTCTTTTTAATTTTTTTTTTATTTTATTTTTACTTATGGCTAACCAAAAGCTAAAAAAGTTAGCCAAAAAATCAAAAAATAGGCACTATGCATAATACTTCAAAACCTTGGGGCCACTTTAGAGAGTTGGAAAAAACTTCGTCGTCCACGTAGAAAAATGAAAACCATGAGGCTACCATATAGAATTTCCCTAAATTAAAATTACTTTTTTTTTTTTTTTGGGGGGGGTTAAAGTCCAAAACCACGAAATTAAATACGGAGTACTCTTTTTGTTTCTTTTCTTATCTTGACCTATATTTTGTAAAACTATTGTATAAATATAAATAACTTTAAGAGATGGATGGATAATGAGTTAAAATAATGACTTTGCAAGAAGTCTGACACAAGGTAAACATATCTATTTCTTCTTGTTCTTCCCATCTAAAATCTTGACATTATAAATACGGACACAAGGTAAACATATCTATTTCTTCTTGTTCTTCCCATCTAAAATCTTGACACTATTTAATATCCGTATTTATAAGATGATAGAATCTTCTAATTAAATTACGAGTTGTACCCAATTAATTCCCAAAATAAACAAATAAAATTGTCTTTTCAAATACTAATGGAGGAGTACATACATCTTTTTAATTACTAGTTGAGGGGTACATGTGTAATTTTTTTACCAAACAGTAAATGCAAGTTACAAACAGTAATTAGACAGCTCATAAAAAATCTGAATAAATGACCACGTTTTTTCAATATATTTACAAAAGCCACCAGAGTAACAAAAATCAGTTTATCTGACAGATAAACTTGTATTTGCCCTTAAATTACCCTCGACATATACAACATAAATATGTAGTATATTGTTTAATCTATCTTAATGAAAATTTTATTAATAATTATTTTCGAGTACTTTTTCTTACTAATATGTAACTGATATTTTAATTAGAATTAGATTTATCTAACGTCAAAGTAATATTGACAAGTACGGAGTACATATACTCTATTATTAAAAGGGAAAAAAACATTTAAGAACGGAGGATAAGTTACTACCCTTGCACTATTGGGACAGTAGCGCCGCTCGTGGGCGTCATGGTGCACGAGAACGATAATTTGGTAAGAATGACACGAGTAGGAGGTTTTCAATCCAGATAAACAGCGTTAAAAAATGGTGTCCAAAAAAAGCAAGAAAGAATAATTATAACATAACGGGTGTTGAGTATCCTTCCGTTATATGTAACGGAGTAGATTTTTTTTTTTTTTTTTTTTTGGAAAGAAAACAGAGTAGTCGCGTCGCATGGCATCATCTTTTATTATGGTGTCCCCACTCGCATTTCCACAAACTCCATGGCATGTTTTTAACGTGCTTTCTAGTACAGTCTCAAGACTCTCTTGGCCGGCACTTGAGATTTTCCACTTTTCTAATCAATCATAATTACAAATTACGGAGTAATTATCTCATATATAAAAAAATTGTTAGTTTTACACTTCATCCTACTATAATCAAGTATATTTTTATTTTGAATGTCTCTATTTACTATTTAGTTTGTACATCACTCAATATCTTAATAGTTAATTTTTAAATACTACATTCGTTACAGGTTATGTGCAACGATTAGACATTTTTCCTCTCTGTTAAATATTAATTACAACAAAGGGTCATTATTTGCATTGTGAGATATAAAATATTCCTTATATAGCTTTATTGCAATTAACATTTAACGGAGAAAGTAGTTTACTTTTCTTAATTTATGCAAACTATGACAAATGACACTCTATTTCAAAATGAGGGGGAATATACTAATTTAGAATCATGAAATTTTTATTAGCCCCTTTGAATGACTATGACAAACTAAGGGTCTCAACCATATAGGTTTTAGGAGTAGTCAGTAATATATAAACTTAATCTTTTAGTGTTTAACCTTACTAACTATTATTCTGTAATTTGTATTTCCTCAAGATCAGTTCTTTGTTGATGTAGCTAACTCATTGCTAGTGGTACCACATAAAATTTGTGCAATGTTCTTGATTGTTGTTTTGTTAATCTTTCTTGCATTCGTTATATATTTTACACTTGTACCAAATAAGATAGACCAGGCCGTAATCCGTAAATTATTGTACTCATATAAGAGAAATTAACATCATATGATATCTTAGTATATACAAGTATGAAGATTTGTTAAAAACACTAATTAAAAAAAATTACTCTTCACTTATACTTAATTTGTCCGATCCTTAAGATTAATAACGCTCTTTGTTACATTATCATAGTTTTTTCAAGGAAGGTTCCCTCCATTATATATTCATAAATAAAACATTTTAATTAAAAATAAGAAAACAAATAATAAATAAATATCAAACAAACATCTTAAGAAAATAAATAATTAATCAAAGCATGTCCTAGAATTATACGAAGTTTGTAAATATATTATTGTTAAATTTGGAAACAATATGAAATGGGCCTGGGCAACCCGAATAAGGAGGAGGAGAGTTTGGTCCACAAACAAGGCTTTGGAGCTTCCATACTAAAACCAATTAGCAATAGTAGGAGCTACTCCTCTACCTTATAAAGTGAAACCATCTCTCCTCTTTCTCCAATGTGGGACACTCATAAGTGGACTACAATGGGTTTCAACAATTATTTTGTGCTTATTTCCCTAATTGATTAAATAAGGACTTATAGTAAGAGGGAATAGGGAGTGAGTTGTATCTATTTATATTCCTTCTTTTAAACCCTTGAAATCTCCCTAACCAAATACGAAGTAATATTCTCCCCACCACCCTTCCATAATAATGAACTCAACACCGTTCTCGTCTCAACTACAATACTCACCACCTCTACCAAGTGGAGGCGAGTACGAGGATGCCACATCCTCAGACTCGCCTACTAACTGGTCATCAGCTTCGCCATTTAGTAACCAACTAATACTAAATGACGAAGCTGTAGGTTTTCCAAAGAAGCGGAAAGCAGGCCGAAGAAAGTTTAAGGAGACTCGGCACCCAATCTATCACGGTGTTCGCGTGAGAGACGGCGGAAAATGGGTTTGCGAAATTCGCGAGCCTAACAAAAAGAGCAGGATATGGCTCGGGACGTACCCTACCGCAGAACTTGCGGCTAGGGCACACGACGTTGGGGCTATAGCCCTTAGAGGTGACAAAGCTGTACTTAATTTTCCTGACTCGGCTTGGCTCGCTCCTCGAGCCAAGTCTACCTCGGCCAAGGACATAAGGCTGGCCGCCTTCCAAGCCACTCGGTCCGAGCTACGCTCTTCATCACCAAGTGGTTGTGGTAAAAAGATTGAGCTCGAGGTGGATAGTCCTACGAGCCGCTCTAGTGTAAACCATTATTTTGGAACGGAGGGAGATATTGGAGAAGGAGACTCAAAAGAGTCGTTGTTTATAGATGAAGAGGCGATATTTAATTATCCGAGTTTGATTAATGGTATGGCAGCGGGTATGCTTCTTACGCCTCCTTGTTTGAAGAGAGGGATTAATTGGGATACTATTCATGATTATGGGGATAATTCTTACATAGATTACATGGATTTGTGGCACCATTTATAAATATTACTCCATCAATTAACTATAAATAATATATATAATTAGAATTGAATTAGAAATATATTAATGTTGTGAAACTGTAACTTTTGGACATATAAAATAGTAGTATGTCTCAACTCTCAAGAGATGTATTGTTTATTACACTTTTTAGTTCTTTGGTGGACATGTAACGAATTTGAATGTTTTTCTATTAATATGGTGAAAATTATTTTTGTGAATTAAGTTGTTCAACGAAACACTATTCAATACAATATGTATATTTACTTGATTTAATCTATATTACAATTATTTCTAAATTAATACAAGTAGTATCACTAGTGTATATGTCTACTTAGGTAGCTCATACATATTTAATGGCATCAATTCAGTTCAAAGCGAGCCAATTTCAAACAAGAATTGTATAAATAGATCATTACAAGAAAATAACCTTTTCGTAGCGATTATTTTAACCTTTAGTATCGATTGTAATTGCAACAAAAAGCTTTCCCAACGAATGGTCATTCGATACAATATCCCCCGTTGCCTTAGCCTTTAGTAGTGGTTTTCAATATCGTTGGGGTTGGCCTCAATAATCGATACGAAAAACTACATCCAATCGTAGTGATTATTGTAGCGATTATAATCGCTATAAATGTTCAACTCATTTTCTTCCAAAAAAAAAAAAAAAAACATGCGTATGATCTTTACAAGATTCGAACATGCAACCTCAAACTCTTATATTAAATGTTTCACCAATAAGCTATGACATATTTTATGTATTCTTTGTCAAACAATATTTATATATCTAGCGTTGAAAAGACTTTTCGTATCGATTTTTAGGATTTAGTAGCAATTGTAAATGATACGATTTCTCAAAATTATATAAATGTTTAAAAATAGTGTGGATATGTATTATTATGCTTTCCGTATCGATTTTATATGGGAAAACCATGGCGATTGTAAAAATGATACGACATCCTTAATTATTTCACAAACATACTTGCATATTGTAGCGAATGAACAATCGCTACGAAATAATCGCTACGAAAAGTGATTTTTCTTGTAGTGGATCAGATTAGGTTTTCAAATTGGATATAAAAGCGCATTCTTTTGAAAATTCTACATTCGATCCCGAACTCAATCTGAGTGGGGATCGGATTGAATTTGAAATCCGAAACTACACAAGTACACAACACAACCCTACAAAAGTGTTGCAGCTTGCATGCATGTTACTAGTATTACAAGGCTTGAAATTAAAGTTTAATGTTTCATATATTCAGTAGCATTTGTCATTTTACACATAATTGCCAACAAAGGCCTATCTATGCACGTTACCTCATTGAGTTAACCTTGTCAATTACAAGTAATTGTTTTTATATGCAAGTTAGCTACCAAGCCTAACAGCAAACATAATCGAAATTCTGAGGGCTATTTTATCTAGTTGTTACTCGATCGACTAGGTTTAAAATGTAAAACAACGTTAACAGATTAGCTTAACTTTTATTTTAGCTCAACAATTAAATCAAATCGACTAGGTTTAAAATGTAAAACAAAGTTAGCATATTAGCTTAACTTTTATTTTAGCTCAACAATAAATCATATCAACGAATTCCTACAAATTAATAATAAAAATACTAATAATAAATTTCAGCTAATTTAATCTACCTCTTTAATTTGTTAAAATTACTCTCGTCAAACACACTCAAAAATATAATTAACGTTGATTTTGTTTTGTTTTTTTAGATCATTTTTTCTAATGTGACGATGATATGCATTGGTGTATTATTTAATAACTATTGAAAAATTATGATTAGTACGCAATATCATTAACATTATTTACATTAAATATCACATAGTCTTAAGCTTGTGCATATTATTAATAACATGGTTCATGCTCGATCTTATAATGATTATGCTTAATAAAGTTTACCTTTGGTGACTTGGTGTGGGTAGCAAATTAAAAAGTGATGATTGGTAGGTTTTGAATATCTTTTGATCCGTTGTACGAAGTAAAACAGGGACAAATTACCTACAAATCTTTACAATTAACTTTATCATTATGTAGTTGCTTCAATGAGTGCTAGGACATTCATGCAAAACGTTTAATTTAATTAATTCCTATTCCGATCTGTCAGATATTAATGTTAGAAGGTTAATTCAACCAAAAGTTTAAACTAATGACTGAAATCCAGAATCAATTTATATACTCTATATATCAAATATAAAATAAATACGAGTACTTTTGTTAATCATAACCATGGTAAGACTCCAGGAGTGGTACTTTGTATTAAGTTGCGACTAATGTTTATTGTGGAACAACTTAAAAGAATAATTTATGTAGCATATTTGAGTGAAATTAAACTAAAAAAAAAAAAAAAAAAAAACAGTTAAATTTAGAATCACTCAGTACGAGTACTTGATTCATTACATATATGTGAACTTCTAATTAATTCTCAACTCTTAATGTGTGAAACAGGAATCTTTAACCCTTGAACTACGTACACCATACTCAACATTACTCAACAAATTAAACCTATCTTTAAGGCTAGGTTTTCAAGGGTTGTCATGGCATTTTCTTCCTTTGAATCTCCCAATTAAGTAAAAACTATAAAAACGAATAGTTATTAAATAAAAATGTCACACATGAAAAATAAGTACTCAAATTGTACAATTTAATAACCATATGATGGTCACTTGGCCCTTCTACATACCGTAGAGTCCAATCAATAAATAAGATCTTTTTACTTTATTTGTTTGACGAAGAGACTTTTTAAGTCAATGAGAAAATGACTCATATTATATTTTTGATAAAATATCACAAGTCTCGTTTTCCTTAATTATCATTGACCATTGACATCGCACGTGGCCATGCAGTATATCGTGGTCCTGAATCCTGGTCAAACGTTTATTATTGGTCCCTAACTAGGTCACTGGATTATGAATTTAAGAATAAATAAAGATCCCTTTTTCTATGTTCAAAGTTTCAAACTCTTCTAATTAAGTGTATGTGATTTTCTCGTTTTGTGTTTTAAATACGGAGTATCATTTAAATCCATATATAGAATTTCTTGTAAAAGTTGGATATATTCACACTAATTTTCCATCATATTATAAATTTTTAATTAATAATATTGTAATATAGAGTATTAATATGTAGATAATTTCAATTTGATATGTATACTTAATTAAGAATATTGTAATAGAGTTGAAGCTTGAACTCTGATCTATGTAGAATGCCTTGAACCTATATATTATCAAATGAATGGAGTGAGCTTAAACATAAAATGAACAATTTAAAAAAACAAATTAAAAAAAAAGGTTATACTATGAGTATGTTTAATTGGCTTTTAATAAGTAGCTCAATCTAGTATAGTTAGATAAAATTAAAGTATGAAACAACCAATGATATAGGCTTGAGCTAATGTTTAATCTAATTTTAAGTTAATAGGTAATACATAATTCTTAGCCTTTTTCTCTTCAAACTTTATTTTGATGCATGTTGAAATAATGGTTTAAACTCCAAAAACCTTTGTATGTAACATCAGGGGCGGATCTATTAAGGTGCACACGCACAAAAAACCAAAAAAAATATAAGAGATCGCCTATTACAGATAGGCGGTCTCTTTGTTGCTTCTATTTGAGATTAGCCCCTGTCAGTTTTTTAAATATCAAAGAGATCGCCTATTAAAATATCAGATAGGTGGTCTCTTTGTTGCTGCCATTGCCACCACGTCATTAGAGACCTGTTATCTAGATAATAGGTCTCTTTTTGTAAAAAGAATAATTTTTGCGCTGCTTTCATATCTCAATAAAGAGACCTGTTATATTTAATAACCGGTCTCTTAAGTTATCTAACATTTTTTTTAATAATTCTTGTTTTTTAGTAAAAAAGTATAAAGTTAGTTTAATGTAATAGTTTTATAGTATGTATTTTTATATCCTATTGTTGGATTGAAATAAGTGATCAATTATTGATGTTGACTCATAAGTTCGAAAATTCTGGATCCGCCACTGTGTAACATATATACATGCATCGACCAATATGGGTTGAAAAGTATTAATTAGTACGGTGTTATTACTGTAAGTTCAGGTTCTCCACAAATTATTAAATTATACAATTTCAAATATATAAAGAAAAAGATGGTACAAGCGTTTATTCAGCACAAATTAACTAGGAAAAAGAAATCAATACTAAGATTCTGAGAATAGCTTTCCACATGTGTTTTCTTTTGGTAGTTCAAATGATTCCATCATTGATTTATTTTATTTTACTTTATTTTATTTTAGCTAGGTTTTGTTTTCTCATTAGCCATTATTTGATGAATTAATTAGTTGAGTAGGGATCAAAGTTGTTGGGTTTCTTGGGTATTATAGTTCGGGAGATTCAGTATTGTCACTAAATAAATTGGTTAATCACGCACAGGCCCGTCGCTGACCCAGGGCAGCCGGGGCACCCACCCAGGGCCCACGGATAGAAAGGACCTCATTTCCAGCTTTAAGTCTAAGAGTACAGTTATATTTAGTTTAGAGATGCTTTTGTCAACATCAATATCTTTGTAGCTTGGTGTGAGGAATGATTTGTGAGTACTTGTTGTACTCCTAAGTCAGCAGTTCGGTTCAGCTCTATTCAGTTCAGTTCTCTCATTAACAATTCATTTTAGCTCAGTTCAGTTCAGTTCAGTTCGGTTCGGTTCGGTTCGTTTTAGCTCAGTAAATCAGAACATGCCTTTAACAAAGTGATCTAATATTATGCATGGATTAAACAGTATTTTGGTCCCTTATTTCATCAACATCACATAATTTCTAATTTTCTTAAGTAAAAACAAAAATAAAAAATCTGACCAAACCTCAATTCTGACAAAAAAAAATTTCATCCAATCTTTGGGAGTTAAATATTTTTATAATGAGAGAAAAGGGTAAGGAATTGATTGATTGAATTTCCAACTTCAAGGTTAAAAGGTGTTATTTTACCTATTAGACCAATCTTAATTAGTGTCTTTGAAGGAGAGTGATATTATTTTTTTCCTTCCAACCCTTCGTTTGCTACTTTGCTATGATGGATAATGGGCCGTTGTGGGTGTAAGGCACCACTTATTGTATCTTTTTAATTGGGCCAATTTGTAGTTATTTGGGCTTATTGCTGACTTCCATATTGGGCCGTAAACCTAGACAACCATGAACCAT